ATTCTGCCGCTGCATGGCGCAGCTGTAAGGGGTTCGGCACGTCAATGGGTCATCCAGCATTCCCCGTGTTTTTTGGTAGGTTCTCCAATTAGAAGTTGTCGCTTTTCAAGTTCCACAGAAATTATCTACGAAGTTGGAGTAGATCAGTTTATTCAGGGTCTATAGGCTCAGACCGAATTTTATGTATGAATATTTGGACCGAAGTCCATCGGCCACGGCGGATAACCTCGTAATATTGATTAACTGTCGACAGACAACTAATAGTATATTTTAGGATAAGGTGATACCATACTAACAGCACACGTACTAGACAAATGCCCATACACGCGTGTTAGTATGGTATCACCTTACCCTAAAATGTACTACTAACTGTCTGCCGACAGTTTATGAATATTACGCGGTTACCCGCTGTGGTCGATGGACTTCAGTCCAAATATTCATACATAAAATTCTCGGTCTGAATCTATAGACCTTAAATAAACTCATCCACTCCAACTTCGTAGATAATTTCTGAGGAAATTAAAAAGCGACAATGCCTGAGATTGTAGGCAGAATGCTATTACCGACAAAGACAAGGGAGACTGGAATGGCCATTTCTGGCTTATTAGCCGTCGTCAGCCAGCCATACCCAAGCCCGAAGTGTGGAACACCCGAGGCTCGCAGTCGCGACCTGTTAGTTAGAAGTCCACGCCTCTACCCACCGGGCCACGAGCCCGTTGTCCTGTCGGTTTTCGATCGGGAATATACAATGGTAGGGGGCGCTCACCGATCGTTCATACGGAACTCACTCGTTCCGTTGTGCCTTAAGGGCTCTCTCTCGAGCCCAACCAACAGCCGCACAGCGGCGCATGATATATAGGCAGAATGCTATTACCGACAAAGACAATGGAGACTGGGATTGTGCAGCATGGTAATCGATACTACAATCCAACCTAAGCGGTCCTTTTCAACCAAAAACATCTTTCAGAATTTTTGGTAGGATTTCATGAGGTAGGCGAGCTACTGTACGATCGCGGCATCAGCCGACCAGATCAGGCATGAGCACAAGCCTGCCGAGAACACGTCGCAAGTTTTAAACACGACGCTATGGAGGCCCCACGCAAGACGCGACAATGTACCACCAGCATCGATTATGCCGGCGTCGTCATCGCATTTGCACCGACGGGAACGAAAGTGGAACGCGCCAAATAGGCTTAGAAAGGAGCGCCGCGTACATCTTTTGTAATATATATATAAAGATATATATATTTCTGATCAGGCCGTGTACACAAAGAGAGCTGTGTCTTCCACTCCTCCTTTAGCCTCTCGCGCTTTAGCAACGGCAGTCTTGTCTGACAGAAGAGATAGACGTGAGGGGCAGGGAAGCCTGAGGGACGACAGAGAGGGGGGGGGATGAACAACAAAACGACTAAACAGGCGGGAACAAGCCGTCGTTTTTTTCATCCTGCTTAAGGAACGCGTACAGAATTTGGGTGGGAGGGACGTGGGGGCATATTCACAGAACGAAATGTTGGCAGCGATGAACCGCTTTTCTTTTCTCACCAGAGCTGCCACTAAGGCAAAAACCGAAA